ATTTATGAGGCTTTGGCTGGGTTGGGGGTGGGGCCTGGGAGAAGGGGCAGGACCGGGATGGATGGGGTGGGATCTAATGCACTTTGCATGGGATTTGGGTGCCAGGATGGGGCCTTTCATGACGTGGGCAGGGCTTAAAGACTGCGGCCTGGGCTTGGGTGCCTGGGCCAGGGCTTAGAAGTGGAGGCCCTGGTCTGCGTGCTAGGAGCGGGAGCTAGATTACTGTAAGTGGGGCTCAAGGGCTTGGGACAGGTCTAGAGCACAGTGGGTGGCGTTTGGGTGCTGGGGGCAGGGCCTAGAGGGCAAGGGGGGCTCACCATGCGGAGGTAGTTCATGAGGCTGGTGCCATGCTGCCAGATGCTGGCGGAGGGACAGGCAAGGTGGCGCACGCCAAACTTGCGGGTCAGCTCCCGCACGGCACCCACCACGACGTGCACTGCGTCGAACATCAGCGCCGCCGAGAGCTGCAGGGGCGGCCGTGAGCTTCCCCCAGCAGTGCCCCAGGCCTACGAGCTGCACCCCAGCAGTGCTCTGGGGCTCTGAGCTACCCCCCAGCAGTGCCCTGGGCAGGGGCAATGCGCAGGGGGTGCACGTGGCGGTGCACCCCCTGCAAAGAGGCACTGCCGGCACTGCCGACCCTTGGTCGGCACTTGCCACCCTGTGTGTGTCGTCCCCCCCCCACCGCCGACAGCGCCAGCGGCATCTGCAGGAGCTTCCGCTTACCGCCACCACCATCGCCGCGCTCCTGCCGCTGCCGTGCCCCCCAAGCTGATGGGGGCACAAGTCGTTCATGGTCCCGGGGCTGCGAGCTACCCCCCAGCAGTGCCCTGGGGCTGCAAGCTTCCCCAACAGTGCCCTGGTACTCTGAGCTTCTGCCCAACAGTGCCCTGAGGCTGTGAGCTTCCCCCAAACAGTACCCTGAGGCTGTGAGCTTCCCCACCAACAGTACCCTGAGGCTGTGTGCTTCCCCCCGGCAGTGCCCTGGGGTCTCACCGCAGGGCCGGGGTAGGGGCTGAGCTCGCAGTTCTCACGCCAGGACATGTTGAGGCTGCGAACGAACTCCAGGTAGAAGGGGTGGCTGGTGTTGAACATGGAGAAGCCCAAGACATTGGAGTTTTCATCCACGATGCCATCCAGATGCAGCGTGGGGAAGTCCTGGGGGAGGCACAGCCATGGGGAGGGGTGTCAGGGGGCTGCAGGTCAGGAGTGAGGGGCACCAGCTGGGCTGGGCTGGGCTGACCCCCACCCCTCAACCGCAGGCCTCACCATGGTAGTCAGGATGTACTTGTAGAAGGCCGATGTCATGCCGAGCTCTGACGCCTGGGAGAGAAATAGGGGGTGGGGTTCAGAACTCGTGCGGTGAGCTTCTCCCCAACAGTGTCCCCAGCCTCCCCAAGTATTGTCAGCTTCCCTCCAGCAGTGCCCCCAGCCAGGGCCTCCTTCAGTGCAGTGAGTTTCCCCCCAACAGTGTCCTAGGGGCTGTGAGCTTCCCCCAGCATGGCTCTGGTCCCGGAGGTTGCAAGCTTCCCCACAACAGAGTCCTAAGGGCTGCGAGCTTCCCTCAGCCATGCTGCCAGCCAGGACATCCCAGTGCTGCAAGCTTCCCTCCAACACTGCCCCCAGCCAGGAACACCCCCCACCCCAGCACTGTGAGCTTCCTCCAGCAGTGCCCTGGTCCCAGAGTTTGCAAGCTTCTTCCCAGCAGTGCCCTCAGCCAGAAACCTCAACCCCTAGCGTTGCGAGCTTCTCCCAGCAGTGCTCTGGTCCTGGAGATTGCAAGCTTCCCCACAACAGTGCCCTAGGGGCTGTAAGCTTCCCCCGGGCAGTGCCCCCACTCCCCCCAAAGTGTTGCGAGCTTCCTCCCAGCAGTGCCCTCAGCCAGAAACCTCAGCCCCTAGCTTGCAAGCTTCCCCCCAACAATGTCCCAAGCCAGGACATCTCAGTGCTGCGAGCTTCCTCCCAGCTGTGCCCTGATCCCAGAGGTTGCGAGTTTCCTCCCAGCAGTGCCCTGGCAGCTGCAAGCTTCCCCCTAACTGTGCCCCCAGCCAGGACATCCCACTGCTATGAGTTTCCTGCCAGCAGTGCCCTGGTCCTGGAGGTTGCGAGCTTCCCCCCCCCAGCAGTGCCCTAGGCATTACAAGCTTCCCCGCAATGGTGCCCCCAGCCAGGACATCCTAGCACTGTGAGCTTCCCCCAGCACTGTCCCCACCACCGGGGGCTCCAGCACCTTCTTGAGGATGAGGCAGGAGACGGAGGCGTTGGCGTCGATGATGATGGTGGAGACCTTGTCATCCCGGATCTCCTTGAGCAGCGGTGTTGGGTCCTGGCTCTCGTCCAGCATCCGGATGGACAGCGTCTCCTTGGAGATCAGGAACTGCCGCACCAGCTCCTCCAATCGCAGCAGGCCTGGGGCACAGGGCCAAGGGGGGGGTCACCCTGGTGACCCCCATTCTCTCCCTGACCCCCAGCACCCCCTAAGGTACCCACCTGACACACTACTGGCCCCTCCAGCTGCAAGCTTCCCCCCAGGAGTGCCTGCCCTCCCCCCCGGGGACTCACACTCAGCCTTGGCGCAGAGCAGGCTGGCAGCAGGCGTGTGGAAAGCCTGAAGCACCCGGGCCACAGCCAGGCTCAGGTCCTCGTTGCTGGGGTAGAGGCTGACAGCGGCAAAGCGCAGGTACTGCAGGCGTGGGGTCTCCTCTGGACCCACCTTGATGTGTGGGATCTGGGGAGAACGGGAGCGGGGGGTTCAGTGCCAGGGGACGGGGGTCTGGGAAGGCACCCACCCAGCTCTGGTGAGCGGCCCCGATCCGGGGGAGGGGGGACCAGGGCAACCCCCCACTGTTCCATTACCTCCTTCTCCCCACAGATGTGACTGACAGTGGAGGCCGAGGCTGGGCTGGACGCGGGGCCCAGCACCGAGACGACACCCTTGGGCAGGATCTGGCACACTGAGTGTGGGGGGCACAAGTCAGGCCTTGCACACCTGGTTCTTGCACACCCAGTCCTCATGGCTCCTTGCATACCTGCACTTCGCACGCCCAGCCCCTCACATGCCCATGCTTCACACGCCCACCCGCTCACATGCCTGGCATCTTGCACACTTGCCCTTGCGTGCCCAGCCCTTTGTACAGCTGCCCTTGCATGCACAAGCTCCTTGCACACCCGCCACCTTGCACGCTCACTGGTGTCGGTGGTCTCGTACTGGCTGTCCCGCTGCAGCTCAAAGATGTCAACCTCCACACGAGCCTTGGCTGGGACCTCGATGATGCTGTTGATGTGCTCCCGGGCCAGGGCCAGGGCCAGGCGCTCCCCGCGCCCACACACTGTCTGGTCATCCAGGATGGCCGCTGCGGGGGGCGGGGAACAGGAGGCGTGGGGGAGGCCTGGAGACACTCCTCAGCCCTGCTGGTGCCCCTCACTCCCGACCCACAGCCCCCGCCCCCCCGCCCTGCTGGTGTCCCCCTGCCCCGATCTGCAGCCCCTGCTCCCCCAGCCCTGTCGGTGCCCCTCACTCCTGATTTGCAGCCCCCTGCTCCCCGCTTACCCATGCGCAGGGACGAGAGGACCTGTAGGCTTCGGGGTACAAAGGCGACAATCAGCAGCAGCAACAGTGGGGGCAGAGCCGGCATCTTCCTCCCTTCCTCATGGGGAAGGCTCGGCTGTGGCCCCTGCGCCACCACCTGCGGGGTGGGGGGGGAGGGGGCATCATGAGAGCCCTGGGGGCCATTTGGGCCCCCATGGACTCGCCTGCCCCACAGCCCTGGGGCACTGTTGGGGGAAAGCTCACAGCAACGGGGGGGGACACTATGAGGGGGCAGGTCACAACAGGGGGGCAGGGTGGTGGCACTATTGAGAGGAAGCTCGCAGGCCTGGGGGGAGGCATGAGGGCACTGTTGGTGGAAGCTCACAGCGCTGGGGGACACAGCTGCTCTGGGCAACGGTACCCGTTGCTGGGCAACCGGAAGCAGCGACCAAGGATGTGGCTGTTGCTAAGCAATGCTCCCCACCAGGCCCCAGGCAGGGGCCATGAATGGGGCCCAGGGCGGGGGGGCCTGAGATGGCCTGGGGGGGGCCACAAGGGTCCCAGGAATCGGGGGGGGGGGGGGGCCAAGGGGCATGGAGGGGAGGATGGAGCCCAGGACAGATGGAAATGCACAGGGCCAGGACCAAGCTCCCCAGGGACCCAAGCCCACTCATGGACCTGTCTCCCCAGCAGCCCTGCCGGTGCCCCTCGTTCCCAACCCATTGCCCCCCCAGCCATGCTGGTTCCT